TCAGAGAAGAAGGGCAAGGGAGAGATAGAAATATCAATTATAAGAATTATTGATTGGCTGCTTCCTATGTGCCCCCTGGGGGGTCGAGCCTGCAATCAGGCATGTGCCTTAATGAGGAATCAAACATAACTCGATGTTCAACCACTGAGCCACACTGGCCAGACCCTTTGTAGTTCCTTGAAGGAGCTACTTTCCTTTGTCCCTAGATCCTTCTGCTATTTCTTCTTTCCAGGGCACTCTTCCCACCCCTTAGGGCCAGAGGGGACGTCACTTCTGGGGCTGTCTGGCCATTTCTTTCTTTCTTTCTTTCTTTCTTTCTTTCTTTCTTTCTTTCTTTCTTTCTTTCTTTTTTTTTTTTTAATATATTTTATTGATTTTTTAGAGAGGAAAGCAGAGAGATAGAGAGCCAGAAATGTCGATGAGAGAGAAACATCAACCAGCCGCCTCCTGCACATCCCCTACCGGGGGATGTGCCCGCAGCCAACGTACATGCCCTTGACCGGAATCGAACCTGGGACCTTTTAGTCCGCAGACCGATGCTCTACCACTGAGCCAAACCGGTTTTGGCTGGCCATTTCTTCTTATTCTTTTCTTGGAGAGCTAACCCTGGTTCCATATGCAGCCAGCGAGTCCCAAATCCTATCCTCACTCCACCGATTACGTTTGTCCTGTGTTTCTGAGTCCTGAGGACAAAGTGCAAATTCCTCAGCTGGGCTGCCAAGGCCATTGCCCGGAAGGGAGTAAGGAGGAGGGATTTGGTGGGAGCAATGTGAAGGCTTCTCTCCATAGGACTCTCAGTCTCATGAGGTGGAAGGTCAAGCCACCTGCAGAGAGTGATGTCAGGGGATGCTAGGATGTGAAGGGAATGGAGGTAACTCGAGGGTCACTGTGGGTACAGCTGATGAAGGAAACTGCCCACGAGCTGAGACTGGTGGTGAGGAATTCATGGTGACACCTGCTCCCTGGCTTTCTCTGCTAACCACTCACTGAGAGGCGGCAGGTGCAGTGAAGGCCAGTGCGTGGATTAGTCCATGGAGGTGGTTTCCTGGGAGATCAAAGGGGCAAGTGGCTAAGGAGTTGAGGACTCTGTGAAGGAGTGGGTGAAATGACGGGTTGAAGAATCATCTCCAGAAGGGAGGGGGAGATTAGAGAGGAAGGGGCAGCTTTATATTTACTTTTTAAATATATATATATGTTTTATTGATTTTTTACAGAGAGGAAGGGAAAGGGATAGAAAGCTAGAAACATCGATCAGCTGCCTCCTGCACACCCCCTACTAGGGATGTGCCCGCAACCAAGGTACATGCCCTTGAGCAGAATTGAACCTGAGACCTTTCAGTCCACAGGCTGACGCTCTATCCACTGAGCCAAACCGGTTTTGGCTATATTTACTTTTTATTAATCCTCACCTGAGGACATTCTTCCATTGGATTTTAGAGAGAGTGGAAGAAAGGGAGAGAGGCAGAAACATCAACATGGGAGGGACACATTGATTAGTTGCCTCCAGCACCCGTCCCAACCTGGGGCCTGGAATTGAGCCTGGGACCCTTTGGTCTGTGGGCTGACACTCTACCCACTGAGCCAAACCTGCTAGGGCAGGAAGGGAAGCTGTAGAGAGAGCAGAGGGGCCGGTGGCCAGCTGGTTGAAATGTGGGCCAAGATGGGGTTTTGTGAAGTGCTTTGAGCAGACAGGCTGGAGACGGGAGATTGCGGGAGGGCTGAAGTAGTTGAGGAAGCGGCAGCATTTCTGCCCTGCCTGTGCCTGACCCAGCTCTTACCCTCCCCACTCCTGTTCCAGATGGGTATGCGGATGTCTACTCCCACTGCTCTCTGAAGCAGGCCATCTGGGGGCACAAAAACGATAGCACCGATATTCTTCATGCCTGGCACGGGCCTTGCCTGGAGTAGCTGCTCATCCAGACATCTGTGCCATGTAACCTGTCCCCTCCCCATTTTCTGGGCCTCTGTTTTCTGTTTTCCTTTCGTTTCCTTTTCTTTCTTTCTTTCTTTCTTTCTTTCTTTCTTTCTTTCTTTCTTTCTTTCTCTTTCTTTCTTTTTTCTTTTCTTTTCTTTTCTTTTCTTTTTTTAAATATATTTTATTGATTTTTTACAGAGAGGAAGAGAGAGGGATAGAGAGTTAGAAACATCAATGAGAGAGAAACACTGATCAGCTGCCTCTTGCACACCCCCTACTGGGGATGTGCCCGCAACCAAGGTACATGCCCTTGACTGGAATTGAACCTGGGACCTTTCAGTCTGCAGTCTGACGCTATATCCACTGAGCCAAACCGGTTTTGGCTCCTTTTGTTTCTTAAAAGAAATATTCTGGAAGAGTCTAACTCAGGCTCGGCCAAAAAGAAACATGATTCCTCCCCATGTTACGGCATGGAGAGGTGTTCTGTGGTCCTTGAATGGCCCAGGAGTTGGTGACAATGACTGCTCTCTCCAGGAAGAGCCAGAATGTCTTGGGCAGGTAGTGGGGGGGCCTTAGGAGAATCAGGGCCAACAGTGGACAGCAGCCTTCCCAATTATAGTTGGTCTCTCCCTGATCCTTGCACACACATTGCCACCCAACAAAGCACCTACTATGTGTCAGGCCTGTGCTGGGAACTAGGGACACACAGGGGAGAAGACCCAAACCCTGCCAGGAGGAGTTTACCACCCAATTAAGGAGACAGGTGCACAGAGAAAGAATTGCAGGCTGGTGTCTACACTTGAGGGTTTGAGGCTAGAAAAGGGGCAACTCTCTAGTTTAGGGGAGAGGAATCCGGGAAGACTCCCAGAGAATGTAGTGCCCTCGAGAACTGAGTCTTGGAGAAGGTCCTGAAGGCAAGGAAAGAACACAGAGAGGCCGGGAGAAGGGGGAGAACACGGTGAGGTTCAGCAGGAGTCGAGTGTGTCTGGCTGACGGGATGATTCGAGAGGAGAGAGACCAAATTGGCTAACATCTGCATGTCAGCCTGCAAGAGCTGGGGCCATCGAAGGATCTCAAGGTAATTTGCATTTTTTTTTTTTAAACACAGTCCCTGGGGCTCCATTTGTACACGTTGGACCGGGGGAGGGGAAGTTGCATGTAAGAGGAGAAAAGAACAAAAACAGGGAGAACAGCAGGGGGGCCGCTGCACACACAGGCCGGGACGAAGCGGACTGTCTGGGAGGCGAGTGTGGAGGTCTGAGTATCACAGGAACATCTACAGAGGAGGGCCGCGGGAGCTGCTGTGTGTGCTGGACACAGGGTGAGGGAGGGCGAGGTGCTGTCTAGGCCGGCTGAGGGTTCTAACCTGGACGCTGCGTGAATGGTGAGATGGAGGGGCTAGTGTAAGAGCGAGAAGAGGGGTTCCACGTTGAATATATGGCAGTCCGAGGCGCCTTTGGGATACCTGGTGCTCCCGGACACGCCCTATTTCTTTTGCTCTGAGCTCTCTCCCCGGGTGGGAACACCCTTGCCCTCATCCAGCAGCTCGGTGTTGTCTCCAGGAGACGGCCTCGATCTCGGCAGCTGGAAGCAATGCTCCCTTGCGGGAGCCCTGGCAGGTAGGTCTACATCGAACACGTCTGGTCCCGACCTCTCTGCTCGCTGAGGTGCTGCCCATATTTGCATCTTGCGAAGCAGGAAGTGATGAAACGCTCTCCTGGGGAAACTTGGGGCACCCAGGAAGTGTTCCTGCACCGGAGAAGGGGAGATCCCTTCCCGGGTGGACCTCAAGCAGGAAGTGACTCTTACCACCCGAGGGGTTTCAAGCAGCCCTTCTGTGCCCAGGAGCCCAGAGTCAGGCCAGCCAGTGCCGAGAGGACACAGACCAGGGCCAGGACCAGGACCAGAACCAGGACCAGGACACAGAACAGGGCCAGGACCAGGACCAGGTCCAGGACCAGGACCAGGACCAGGACCAAACCAGAACCAGGACCAGGACCAGGACCAGGACCAGGTCCAGGACCAGGACCAGAACACGGAGCAGGACCAGGACCAGATCCAGGACCAGGACACGGAGCAGGACCAGGACCAGGACCAGGACCAGGACCAGGACCAGGAACAGGATCAGGACCAGGACCAGAACTAGGGTGTTCCGGTTGCAGGGGCGGGTAGGGAGTTACCGCCTCCCAAGTCACCAGCTGACAAAGCCCCAAACCCGAGGCTTCCTCGTGAGCCAGCACATGAGTTAATGGCAAGGATCCCCCTGGCCTCTCTGGGACCAGAAACCCACCATCTTCCCGAAGCCAGTGCCCCTCAGCCTCCATCTCCCCTCAGCTTCACAGCAGCTAAGAGGAAGAAGCCCAGGCCTTACTGAGGACACGTCCAAGGTGCTCTTGGCACAGAATAAGCACGAGTGTTCACTTCGAATGGGGAAGGGGGGATGAGAAAGGGGAAGGAAGGTCTCTAGGTGAGATGGGGATAGAAAGACAGTAACAGTCACAGTAACAGCAGCCTCCACTTTTAATGCACATCTGTAATGTTCCCAGTCCTTCCACACGCGATCCTCAGCATCGACGACCACAACCATGACTCTCAAAAACGCAGGCGCAGGGAGGCTGAGTCACTTGCCCAGGTTCCCCAGCTGGGAAGGGGCAGAGGGGGATCCCAACGCAGGCCCGCACGCTCCGGAGCCCGCTCCGCCACCCGTGACTCTCCTCCACGAAGACTGGCGGGTGTGGTCTCTGGGGTGGGCAAAGCAGTCGCTCCTGGGGACGCCCCTGACGTGTGCTCGCTGGGAAGGGTGTTGGGAATAGGAGCGAGCTGAGAATCTCTGGGGGCCCTCAGACGCTTGTCTGCCTGGAGACCCCCCGATGCAGACCGGCAGCTGCTGACAGTTCCACGGACACAACACCCCGTTCCAAGAAGACACACACTCACCTTCCCGTAGAAGGGCTGGACAGGCCTGGGGTGGTGCACACACATAGTCACACACACACACACACACACACACACGCACACGCACTCTCATGCCAGCACAGGTCCAGGAGGCTGAGGCAGCAGCTGTGGCAAGGGCTCCGGCTGGGGGTCAGATGAGGCTGGCGATGCTGGACGTGGTCTCCTGACGCTGGCCAGCAGAGAGCCGTCCTGAGATGCTGAAGATGCTGCCGCCGCCGTGGTCCCCGCGGGCGGAGGGGGCAGCGGCGCGGAGGGGAGGGCAGCGCCCGCGCACGCCCACTTGGTACAGCAGCAGGCCCAGCAGCAGGAGCGAGCCGGAGGCCGCCAGGGCGATGCCCACGGACAGCATGGCGGTGAGCGGCCGGGCGGGGGCCGGGGCGGCGGCCAGCCCGGCCAGCGCCAGGCCGGCGACCAGCAGCACCAGGCCGCTGAGCAGCACCACCAGGGCGTCGGCGCCGCCGCCGCTGCGCAGCAGGGCCACGTGCTGGGGCTGCCGCACGCAGTTCATGTCCTGCACGGCCGAGCTCATCAGCTGCTTCACCAGCACCAGCAGGGCCAGCAGGCAGAGCGCCGTGCCCGCCGCCAGCCGCCACTCGCCCGAGCGGCTGCTGGTGGAGGCGAGCAGCGCCACGCCGCCCGCCCCGCAGCCGGCCACCAGGCCCACGGCCGTGGCAAAGCAGAGCGCCGAGCGCCGCGGCTCCTGGGACCACCACAGCTCCACCTGCTCCGCCAGCACGTCCGGGGGCAGCGCCCGGCCCCGCGGGGCGGGAGCCTCTCCTTCCGACATGGCCGGGTCTGGCAGGAGTCAGGGCAGCGGGCACCGGCGGTTAGAGGGCGCGGGTCATGGCCTGGAGCCCCCGCCCGCCACCTGCTTGGCAGCTGGAAGCCCGGAGTCCTGTTCCTCTCGCGGTCCGGGGCACAGTCACCATCGTCTGTGAGGGAGAGTCACTGTAGTTAGCTCCCCAGCCCGCCTGGGCCCCGTGGTCTCTCCTGGAGGCTGTGGGGATGGTCCCTGAGACCCCTCCCAGGTTCCCCCGGCACTGCTGCTTGGGAAAGCCTCCCCACTGACCCCGGAGAGTTTCCCCCATAGAAAGCACCCCCACCCCTCGGGGAACCCCCTTCCCCAGCTGACCTCTCCGGCTCTCTCAGTTGCCTGTCCCATCCCAGCTGGCCGAGGGAGCTGGTGCCATGGTGGCCGGTGGCCGGTGGCCGATGACGAAGAGCCCGAGATAAAGCCTCATTCAGGACCCAACTCACATGGCTTCAGCTGTCACCACTGACTCCTAGGGGGAGGGGGAGGAGACAGGAGGGGAGGGGGGTGACTTAACCCTCTGGAACCAGCAGCCTGACCCTTGAATAGTCTCTCTCAGGGCTGTGGTTCCTTCTCTGCAGGATAGGATCTAACCCCTAACACCCTCCTTTCCCCGACACCCCATCCAACCTCCCAGCCGTGGCCCTCAAATCCCAACCTCCCTCCGGGCTCCTGACCCATAAGCCACTGGCACCTTCATGTCCCATAGTCATCTCTGACACAACAGGTCCCACCCGAGCTCGTCATCTCACCCGAACCTGCTCCTCCTCTTACGTTCGCTCCTCACGTGTGCACGTCCCAGGGAGGCCACCTCTAGACGTTTCTCCATCCCAGTCCCTGACCCGTCCCCACTGCTTCCCGACTCCTCATCACCCCCTCCTCACGGACTTCCTGTCCCCCAGCTCTTGCCCCCCCCCCCCCCCCGCTCCCAGCCCCCCTCCCCATCCTCCTCCTCCTCCAAGATTTTTCTAAAGTTGTGCAAAGGGAAAGAAGGTCTGGACCTGAAGCCCAGCTGCAGTCCTTACACCATGGGAACTCAGTGAGGGATCTCAGAGCGGTTCCCCATTTCCCCATTTAACATGTCCCCAAGACCCCAGGGTCTCTGCCCTCAAGAGCTTCCCTTACAGCAGGTTCTCGCCATGAATGCTGGGTGTGGATTAGTCAGAAGAGGGGTTTGGGGGAGGGTCAGGGAAGCTCCCCTGCATTCACCTCTTAGAGCCCCAGGCTCCGTATATATCTTTTTTTTTTTTTAAGATATATTTTATTGATTTTTCTTTTTTTACAGAGAGGAAGGGAGAGGGATAAAGAGTTAGAAACATCGATCAGCTGCTTCCTGCACACCTCCTACTGGGGATGTGCCCGCAACCAAGGTACATGCCCTTGGCCAGAACCGAACCTGGGACCTGCGACCCTTCAGTCCACAGGGCGACGCTCTATGCACTGAGCCAAACCGGTTAGGTCAGGCTCCATATCTCAAAATCGAGGACAAAATCTGTATCTTGAGCGGTGGGGAGGGTGAGTCATTTGATATCCCAATTTCAGAATTTCAGGGGGAATTCTGGGGCCCGCACAGATGCCCAGAGCATGCTTTTTGAAGAAAAGAACTCAACATCCGTTCTCTCCTCCGGTTCAGGAGGGGCCTCCTGCTAGATACTCAGGACCCAGACCCTGGCTCACTTCCGGAATGTGACTAAGAGGCTGTACAAGGGTTACACCCCACGTGAGGCATCAATCCTCCACAACCCCTCTGCAGGGCAGCCCGGCCCCGGGCAGGAGAGGCAGGTGCCAATGCCCCTAAGGGAGATGGCGAAGGGGCCGTGGGAGGGGCGCTGGTGTCAGTGCCACATTCCCCAGGGCGGTGACTTCACGGGTCTGAAAGTGCTTGCACAGGTGTGCTGGGACAGGGGGGGCGGGCTGGGGGGGAGGTGGAGGCGCTCAGATGCCAGTGGAGAAGATGGAGGTGGGTGGGTGGCGGGGAGGGGGGGGCGGATGAGGGGGGCCCAGGGACACTCACGAGAAGCCTGGGAGAGCTGGATCCAATCCGAGCCCGGCAGGTGGAGCGCTCCAGCTCCGTTTCCGGGGAGGTGCTCACCTGCCTAACCTGCACCCTGCGCGCCCTGGGAGGGGGGTGGGGAGGAGAGGGAGATCAACAACAGGTGTTTCCTAGTCCCGGGCTGGAGCTGATTGGCTGACGTGGCACTCCTTCTCCAGCGGAGGCATTCCTGGGGAGGGAGGGGCTTCTGTCCGCTGCTGTTAGGGCTCCGGCAGAATTCCCAGACCTGGGCAGCAGGAGGAATGTCGCTGCCCCAGCGCTTGAGCCCTAATCCATCCCCCCAGCTCCAACCCCATCGTAGATTTAGTCCCAGCTGCAGTTTCAGACCCTAACTAGAACCCCTCGCGCCAACCCCAGATCTTACCCCACATCTTAGGCCCAACCCGGAACCTTGAAACCCAATCCCAACCCCCCCAGCCTCATTTCCAAATCGAATTCCTATCCCAGCTCCCAAACCCAGCCCTGAATCTGGAACCTCAGCTCAAATTCCTCACCTGACCCCAGCTCCAAACCCTGGGGTGAGGTCCTGGATCCCACTCTCACCGCAGTGCAAGCCTTGCCTCCTGTTCCTGAATCCAGCCCCCAAATCCCAAATCCGGACTCAGACTGAGCCCCAGCCGCAAATTCCCCAGCTGGTCCCTAAGCCCCAGTCCCTCCAGCCTTGGCAGTTTGCCTGGGCCGAGGCCCCCACAAGCCCTCTCTCTGCTCATTCTCCTTCAAAATTCCATCTAGTGCCTGACTATGGCAGGTCTGTCTGCCCCCATCACCATCCCCCCTCCCCCTACCTCGTGGATCCCGCTGTGGGGCAGGAGGAGGCAGGATTTGAGCACAGGAAGGAGGGGAAAAGGCACTCGGGTGGGAAACAGGAGCTCCCTTGCTTAAAACACTTGCAGAATAAACTTCCAGATAAATGCTACACTCCTTCACCGGGCTCACAAGCCCCTGCCACACACACCAGGCCAGCTAATTGCCACTGGTCCCTGCCCTCCTGCCAGAATGCATGTAGTTCAGTTCAGCCTGCTCTGCCCTCTGCTCTGCCCTTTCGGTTAATTCTTAAACCCAGAGTTCCCTCTGCCTGGGATATTTACACGCCCCAGCCTCAGTCTGGCCAACAGGACTTGTTTAACTGAGAGTTACCTCCTCCAGGAAGCCCTCCCTGACTTCAAGCCTGGTGGAGGTGCCTCTTGGATGCGCCCACGGTCCCTGTGCTTCCTCCACAACTGCTGACATTGCATGTGCTGTACTGTTCCTTATTCACTTACCTGTTAGCCCCCACTAGACATGTGGTCCCCAAAGGATACTAGTGTATGCCTGTTTTGCTAACCATCGTGGCCTCAGCCGTCAGCACTGTGCTTGGCACATGGGCAGTGGTCAGTAAATGTTTGTTGAATGAAGTGTGAGCTGACGGGGCTTTGAGCAGGGAGCATGTGAGATGAAGCGCAAAAGATGGGCTGCGCTGGGCCTTGAATGCCATGGGGAGGTACTGGGTCTCATCTGAGGTTTAAGTGGACATGGTCAGGGCTCTGCTTCTCACAGTGAGCCTGGCCCCACGCACCGCATGTGCTCTGGGTGGGCTGAGGCGGTTGCCGGTTGGAGCTGGTTGGAGGCCGTCACCCGTCTCCTGGACGGAGATCCTTGAAATGAATGCCTCTTGCGCTCTCTCCTCCTGATGTGTTTGGGAGAGACAAGAAAACAAAACCAACGTTACCTTCCCACCAGCAGCTCACAAAGGGCTTATGCTTGACCTGTCCAGGCTTCTCTTTGCTTCGTGCTATGGAGGCGATAGGGGGTCAGTCCTAGCTCGAGAGCAGTGCTGTCCGGGAGGAATGTCACATGGGCCGCGTAGGTAATGTAAGGTTCCAGTAGCCACGTTAAGAAAGTGAAAAGAAACCGACGCTACTACATTAAACTTGTTACTTAACCCCTAGATATTTTCACTGTAATATGCAAATGATCGAAGGAGCTATTTCAGTCTTTCATTTTGTACAAATTGTTGAAGGTGAGCCGTGTGCCTTAGACTAGCCCTGTTTCAAGGGCTCCATCGCCACAGGAGGCTTGCGGCTCTCTTCCTGGACTCTGCAGCTCTGGGCAGTCCTGTCCCTGGGAAAGGGTAGGGTAGGCTGCCTACTGTGGGGCAGGGTCTGGGGTGAGGGAAATCACATGGGTTTGCCACTTTGCAAAGCATTATAAAGGTGTCCCCTTCCCAGGGGAGCAGGAGGCCTGGCAGGCTTGCTGGCTGTGTATTCCCCTCGCACCTGCCTGACATTTACTATTATTTAACCTCCTGGTCCCAAGGAAGGGCCAATCCCGGGCAGACCCACGGTCCAGCTGTCCCAGGGAGAGCCGGGTAGGGAACTTTTGAAAATTCCCCTCCCTTTCCCCAATCCCAGTCCTGACATGTCTTCTCTCTTACCTCCCACTCCAAATCCAGAGCAATGAGTGCCAGGGGGGTCCTCCTGGACACACGGACATCCCCGTGCCTACCAGGGTCCCTCAGGCACTGCCTGGGAGCAGCCGGCTGGTGATGGCTGCCCACACTCTATGGGGAAAGATGGACACTGATGCCAGGACCTCCCATGGGGCAGGGCCTTCGGTGCTGGGAGAACAGGATGGCAGAGGAGGCTCGGGAACCCACGTGGTGTGGCCAGAGCTGGCGCTGACTCTAGAAGAAGGGCAGGAGAGCACCTGGCAGTCTGGGTCCAGGCAGAGGGCAGCCTCCGAAGGCACCCGCGATCACCTCAGCATCCCCCAGAGCTCCGTGAGGGACTGCAACCAGAAGAGTGAGAGTGGAGTCCATATGCCAATACCTGGCCACTGAGTGACTAGCAAGGTTCCTGAGGCTGCGGGAGGAGGAATGCCAGGTCCTTCAGTGAGGCGTCAACTGGCCGAAGAGACCCTGTGAAGGAAGCGTTGGCACCATGAG